TTATAGAAAATATTGCTACATCAAAATGTGATAATAGTGTGGTAATAATTGGACGAAAGTTTAGTAAATTGACTAATTTTTTTGAGAAACCGTTATCATCACATTTATTAAATATACACAGTGCATCAAATCTAAGTCATCTTCAGTCTTGGGAGTTAAACAGAATTAAAGAAAAAATGATGTGTCTCCCTTTGACTGATATTGATTCTTATGTTATATTGCCTTTATTGCATTTACAGTAAATTGTAATACATATTCTATAAATCTTAATTTATACTTACTTATAGATATAATATAATATTCAATAAATAATAAGTGGTCGTCAAATAACATTAAGTGCTAATATAATTAATTATAAATTGTTAAGTAAATATATGTATATATAGATCTTTAAAGTTACACATAATAGCTCTTATTATGTGTACATCAAAATTTATATTGTTTATAAATTATATTACAAATTGTAGTTATAATATGTTTATATTAACAGTATTTGTATCTATAATTATTTTAATTTGGTTAAATCCTTACAAATTATCCTATCTTTACAATAGAGTGCATACTTACATGAAGATCATAATAATATTATACTAGGTAATTATAATAATATATTAATATAATATATATAGGTATTAATAATATGTAATAATGATAATAATTTGTATTTCTATCAACCATTCTAGCATTTAATAATATTTTATACATGGATTGTAGCTACTTAATCTTTCAGAAGCATGATGTTTGTTTTGTATAATTATATTGATTCATAATTTAATGGAGCTTGTTTTTTTTATACATTTTATAGTTTACAATGAACCTTTAGTGAAATAGAGTTATTGGTAGCTATAATTTTCCTATTTATTATGGTATCAACATTTTGAAATATAAAATATAAATGCAATATAATGTAATAAATTGTATTATGAAATTTCTTTAGGTCTTGGTATGTTGTAATTTTTACTATATCCAATGAAATTCAACATGTCCCTAATATATGGCTTCAAAGTGAAAATATTTGTTGGTTTCCTAATTTAAAAAAAGATGGAAAGGAAATATTCTTTACTATACCACAAGTTTCCACCATGATAAAAAAACGTACAGAAATAAATGATGTAGATGGCACAAATTATGACATAAAGATTGTAGCAGGGCCATTTGGTAAGTGATATATACTAAAATGTATAGATTATTAGTTCATAATCTAAAGTTTATTTTTCAAATTTTTTTTAGAAAGAGAAAGTCAAGCAAAAAAAGTGGCAAAAGCTTGGTCAGAACCAGACTCTTCTGAGAGTAGTTTTGAAAATGAATCGCCAGTACAGCCAGTAACTAAAAAACGAAAAGAAACTGCAAAATGTTCACGCAAACTTGAAAACGATTTTTTGAAGTTGCCTGTACCACCAACATTGCCATTATGTAATATAATATGTTGTGTTATTGTTATGTTCTAACAGCATGTTAATCGTTTAAAAATATTGTCTCAATAAAATACAAATATTTCCCAATTTTATATAGCTGCAAGAGGAACTACTGTGGGTGGGAGTCCTCTAATGTCATCTGATTTAATTTCAGTGTCACATGATGGCTCAAGTCCTATCTCTGAAAGTAATTGTAAGTGTAATAATTACACATACATATTGGCTACTATTATGTTAATAAAATAAAATATTTTTACCTACTTACTTATTTATACATATATATTTTCATTAAATAATAAATTTAAAAATTATTAATTATTCATTTTAATCAATATTGTACTTAGGCCCTATAAGTAATTGTTCATACCATGAAAGTGCTGTATCATGTAGTGGTCCAATTTCAAGCAGCATACTCGTCGAAAATTTAAATAACAGTAAGTTTCAACTGTAATTTAATTTGCAATGTACAACTGCATTTAAATATATGTTTAATATTATTTGAGTCTTACTAACATTTAATGTATTTCCTAATATTATATTGTAGCAAAAACATCAAGTACTAAATTGGGACCTCTTCTATGTGAAACAATCACTCATGAATCATATTCTAAATCTGAAAGTTCTCCTAGATTAATGATTAAAAAGAGTAAGTCTTAATATAATAATTACATAAAATAAATTATTAATACTTTATTATAAAATTTTTTTTACATATTATAAATATAAATATATAAATTTTTAATCTTCATCAATATTTTATTTATGTCCTATATTATTTACTTTTTCAGAACAAGAAAGTGCTGTATCACATAGTAATCTGACTTCAAGTAGCACACCCATCGACAATTTAAAAAGAAGTAATTTAAAACTGTAGAATGCTTTACAAATGTACTTTGTACAACTGCATGTTAATGTACATTTGTTATTATTTAAATAAAGTGTTTTACTTAACTTTTAATATTTCCTAAAATGTTCTATTATAGCAACAACATCAAATACTGAGTTGGAACTTCTTCTGTCTGATAGAATCAATGAATCAAATCCTAACTCTGGAGGTACCTCTAATGTGATTCATAATGGTGTGATAAATAATATGTTTTATTATTAAATACTACTTCAATACTTATAGTTAACATAATTTTATGTTGCAGACATTTTTAATAACATAAATATTATAATATTTTATGTAGTACAAAAATTGGTATTCAATAACACAAAACATTAAATTTCACTATTTATTTCTATAAATACTCTTAATATTTTTTTTTATGTGACAAGTTTTCTCAATTTTAATATTAATAATTAAAAGTTGTTAACTTAAAATTCTGCTAACAGTATCTTTTTTTTGTAAAAAGAACAAATATAAATCTTATTAATGTGTATATATAATTTATGTAGGTCCTAGTGGTCCTAATACAGATATTAGACCATTTTTTGAAGCGAAATCAAATGCGGTGTATGACATGACCAACATGTCCGAAGATTGTTTGAAGACAAGTAAGTTTTTTCCATTAGTGATTACAATAATATGTATATTTTTTTAATCTATGAAAAGTAATAACATAATATTTTTCAGGTACTACAGATGATGATGTTGGTAATCTTGTGACTGGTTCATTGATGTTGCTAGATGGTTCAACTAGTTTTCAAGAAATTAATTATACAGATAGTAATGTGTATGATAATATTGATTCTACTCTTATTAATAACGAAGGTAAGAAATGATATTATTGTTCTTAGCAAAATATTTCTTATGATAACATATTGTTAATTACTTATATAGAAACAAACAATACAAATACTACTGATTCCGGTTTGATGGATTTGTCAAATTTCATTAGCAAAAATGGTTTGTAAAATATTTTGATATTTTAAAATTAAAAATGTATATTTTATTTGAGATGCTGCGTGTTTTAGAAAATTGCTGTTGCCAAAACCTTTTACAAATCAAATCAATATTAGCTACTAATGAAAAAACATCTAAGGCAGTTCATAAACAAATTATGATACAGTTACATATGCTAAACAACTCTAACGTTAAGATAGTTAATGCTATGAAAAACATGGACCAAAAGCTTCAAGTCATAATGAAAGCAGATTCTAGGATGAGGTCATTAGCTCTGCCTATACCTGTATTACCAACAGCCTTGATAACTTTATTACCTGCAAAATGTATTGAAGAGGTAGACGTAGTTGAGTCCATTCTTTCGGATGATATTGATGGCTTAAATAACCAGGAAGAATTGGTGAGCATTAATGCCGTTAACTATTAATATTATTTGTGTATAGGTAACTAATATTTTACAATAATTATATTTTTTTTAAGTAAGAAACATGTAATAATAAATTAGCTAATATATTATATTGTTTATGTACTTACTATAACATTAGATTAGAAAGATGTATATATACATAGTCAATACTATAGTTTTAATTTTCCAATTTACAGAAATCTTACCTTTATATGAAGATTGGAAGTATGGATTCTATAAGCTCAGCTACACGAGCAGCAATAAATGAATGTTTTAAGTATAATGTATTGGCTTTCTTCAGCTTCAGAGGAAAAACTAAGCGAAGTTTTTCAAAATTAAAATTGTGTACTGTTATTTATGGTGAATATTTATGGAAATAAAAAATAAAATCAATCATATGAGTAATTTATCTTAAATTTATTTGTTATAGAATCTCTGTCTAGTTTCCGTACTCATTTCAAAGATGAAGAAAAATTCAATCGAACCGTAGATAACTACATAAAACATTCTAAACAAAAAAATGAAGATCAAAATAATGAATAAATACATTTTTCCTATAAATTTGTACTTAGATTTTTACAGTTATTATCATTAATAAAATTTTATCTTTAGCCAAAGACAATTATTGTAGTGATTGATGTTATCTCAAGCTATTACCCTCATGGTTAGGTTAATATACTAGTACATATTATGGTATTTTTTACAAATCTAATAAGTACATACACCGAACAAAAATACAAAATTTATATACATTTATCATTTACTTTATTTTAACTTCTATTTTTATTAAATTATAAATTTAATTTGAATATTTTATTTTTTAATACATTTTATGTTAGACTCTAACATAAAAATATTAAAAGGTAATGCGAAAACAGGAAATGATTTTTCAACAGGTTTATCTATCTATTCCACAGTATTGTATTTTCGTATATAAATAGAATAATTTTAAGATAATTTATGATTTTGGGAGAGATCGGAGTTAATTGTTAAATAATCTAAACATTCAACAGTTATAACACGGTCGGGGACACTGAATAAAAACAGTTATAAAACTGAACATTGAACCATCATTACACAGTGTTGACACTGTCCAAACACAGAGTTGACACTGTCCAAATACGGTTTTAAAAATTGATATTTCACGGTTATAAAACCAATATGAACACAGTAATAGCACTCTGTGCTACCCATGTAAAAAATCGGTATTCAAAATCGAAAAAACACTGTGCTTAGAACAGGATTTTAACGGTGTTTTGCACTTTAAATTACTAATGTTTAAAACGGTGTGGGCACAGAAAATGCTACTCGGGTGGTTATCTTGCAGTATTCTCATACAAATCGATGTGTCGCACGACTTTTTTTTTAGTTGGCGATTCGAGAGCGAAAAACGCGCGACAAGCGCAAAAATGATGCGATATCTCGATTTGTATGAGAATTTTGCAAAAAATACGACTAGAGTGTTTATTTTTACATACGAGATAATATTCTAAAAATAACTTTAAAAAACCCAGATTTTGAAGTTAGAAAAAAAATTCCAAAAAACTCTTCATTGTGGCATCACAGTGAGTATGCGTATACTATTTACCTCACACACTTCAGAAACACCCTGTATACAGCCTAATCAATAACTAATATTAATTATTAATATTTTGATAATATTTTCCCACGATTTATTGTCCTCATAATATGTAGTCATACAAACTTAATAATAGTAATTGTATGTGCCCAACAAATTTATTTGTAGGGAGTACTATTTTAAGTCTACTAGTTTTTAGGGTGAAACACGATTGCGGAGGCTTCAACTTCTTTGTAACACGATTGCGGACGATCACTGTATGACAAAAGGTATTATTTTGTACCCGAAAAATTACAAGATTCTGGTCGAAATTTGGTGGAATATTGCCAATTTGTGCGACGCAGTCTACCTACAACGATTATCAATTTTATGATCGGCTTATCGTTTGGATGTCTAGTGAGCATAAACTACAGCATGGCTTAAGATATATAATACGTAATTATGTTAGGTAGATCTTATATCATGGCCTATACAATCTTAAAAAAAATAATAATAATACAAACACAAATGTGAAATGATGATAAGTGGCAATAGATTCATAACATTGGCGTCGCATTTCTATAGTCCACAAAATTAAGATTATTAAAATTCTAGATGCCATCGGAAACTCGCTGTCGTGAAACTCGGGGGCATGTGCAACTCGTTAATGGAGACGACAATGTCGTTGAAATAACTTAAAAAGTCACTCTTGTCGACATCGTGGATGGTTAAAAAACAAAAATTAAGGAGGTGATTAGGACTTTTGATTAGGCTTGGAGGTCGCATGTCCGGTGCTTTTTCGTATGTAAAAAATGTAAATTCGAAATCCGTGTTCGAATGTCTAGCAAATCAGTCACCTCAATTGAAAATCGATTAACATTGAAATTAGCTACCTAGGAAAGCAATCCGACTTCGTTGGATCACAGGCAATGTGCTGTTGTGTGCTTAATCTCAAAGGCTCCAAAAGCCGTAAGCTTTTGAGACAAATCAAACATGTACTAAATTGAACTGAAAAATAACGTTTATTCAGCAGAAAATATGGTAAGTGTATAATAGCGTGTCGCGTGTGCGTGTGACGAGAAATTGCTCTGGTCTCCGTGGCCATGATACATCTGCACAGGCTGCACCTCGGGCTCCCTTATAAGTGGTGTCGGTTCCTTTGATGTAGTGGCTCGTAAGGTTGTAAGTGTGGTATGGTTTTCGGTTGTTGTTGCTGATTTCTAGAAAAGCGGCTGTGGTCATGATTTATAATCGTGTACCTATCCAGTGATTTATTGCATAGGTAGATGCTAATCTGTTTTAGTACATTCGTTGTTTTGCGCTGACAGTATTTTATGTTGGGACAGATTCATATATTCGTACGCTATTTCATAGGGATTAAGGACTGTGGTTTCGGTAATACTTTATACATTCTGAAAGGTCATTGTGTTCTATACTATATTATTATAATACTATAGCTGCCCGATCTTCCTCCGGAAGAAATTATATTTTTATAATTTAATTTAAAAACATAAGACTGTTTTTTGGCTATACAAATAATACAATGATTATAAAATAAAAAAAAGAAACAGACATCGTTATCGGTGAATATATGAAAATAATTGGTAATTAGTTAATTATTATTATTATTATAATGAGGGTTCAAACCCGGTTTCCTTTGTTTCCAAAATCAAGTTAGATTCTTATATATATAGATTACATGTTACATATTACATATACAATTATTATAATATGACATGTTACATGTTAATTTTATACGCGGAGATTCCAAGGCCCGCGAAAGTGCTACAACTAATCAGGTACGCAAACGCAATCCTCCTGCGGTGGATTGCAGACACGCCGTTCATCTGCTATGAGTGAAACTTAACTAAATTGGTAGTACATACCTACATTATACAGGCATAACGCATAAAAAATAAAGATTGCATGTAGGTAATTGTATTTGGCACAATCATACGGATAGACGGTAGTATAAGTAACGTCCACTATTTTTGTAATTATTTCATAATGTAAGCACCACAAAGATTATGTTTACAGATTATACAGATAACAATGAAATAATCATTGGAACTTCGAAAAATTATGTAAAAAGTCAAAAAAAAATGCTAAAAATCTGGGTGGTCATGTTACAGCATAGGTCTACCGTGGTAGAGACGGCAGCAATTTGTCCGCCGGCCGGGTTCGTTCTCACTTACCCACTGACTTTAGCCTAATGCCTAATGCCTAATGCCTATCCTCTATGGGACACTTACTCAGATGGGAAAATGTAAGCATTTAAGCCATTAGTATTCAGCAGAGAATACTGCATTAAACATTGTTTAATCGATGGAATCCGTAGGATCTGGCCATTATTATTATTACATATAGGTAGTCAACAAAATAGATGCAAATATCATGCTATTGAATACAAATACATTGCAATTTCTGTTGTTGTAAAAAAACTAAAATATTAGTATTGCATAGGAACACTATGCATTATGCATAATAATATTATATGGTTCTGCAGTAAATAAATAGTTCATTTATTTAATACATATATAATATGTGTGTAACTATAAAATTAAGATATAGGTACATGAATATATTAGCAATATACAATTTAATGTTACTCATTCAATTTAGAGTGTATTAATAATGAAATCCACTATTATTTCATTATATTAATGGTCAGTTTAGTCTTTAGTACACTGTCTTTTATTTATTATTATCATGTATGTTAGATAAAATTTACTTAAATTAAACCGCTTTGAAATTGCTTATTAATTTAATTTAATTCTTAAAATACTACACAATTTGTGTGCACTGTTAAATATAAATAATGTATACGAACTGCACACCCAACAGTTTTAAAAGAATACATTTTATGGATGATCCTCGCTCATCACTACTTTATACTAGTTCTTTTTTATTTAGCCAATTGTAAATTGTATTAGTATGACTGAGAATATTATGTTACATACAAATATTTAGTATAATATCTGTTTTGTATTCCTATTATTATAAGGAAGAAGGTATTATAAAAAATGTTGTAAATTTTAATGTTTTACTTTATGTTCCAAACAATGGTTTTTATTTTGTTTTGTTAATGATGGTATGTAGTTCATTAAAATTATCATTGTAGGTTGTCATTACAATTTGGTGGACATAAATATATCTAAATAACTAAAAGTGAAAAAATAGCTTTAAAAATAAGTTTTCAAACTTAAATGGATTTAGGTAATATTATTATCTATTGTATTTTGAATGGGATATTATAACTTGTTTACTTTGCTAGGAACGGCATATTGTTAGTGCCTATAACTGTAAAAATAAATAAATTTATATCTGACTAGTAGTGTAGTAGACTTAACAGAGAATGAGGTAATCTAACAGATATATAATTATCAATAATAATGTACTAGTATTCCATCCTTTCAATAATAATTTCATACGGCATCAAAATAATTCAGGGACAAGTACCAGATGGCAGACCACTACTACGGTCTTTTAGGATGACCATATTATTCATAGATCTTTTGTTATACTTTATATTTTAATTGGTAACTAAGATTGTTGTTATTGTGTAATAATATAACATATCATCTGGAACTGGATATTTGATCCATATTTCCTGAAACTACAGAGTAAAATATAATTTTATAATAAAATTCAAAGAGCTGTGGCAACCATCACTGATTTATCTAAATATGATAGGTTCTTTAACCCCGTTTCAATATAATAATTCCAAATAACTTCTTAAATATCCTTAAAATGTGAATTTTTAAATCAATTCTTGTTGCACATCTATAGCATTAGCCTGATAAGAGAAACCAATATTCCAAATATCAAATTCATACAGTTATTCATATCTACCCCTCCCCCAACTCACAGAATAAAATCATAACCATTATGCCAGTGAACATAGTCCATACGCATCTGTGTCACTTACAAATATAGAGAATCATACAGGTCCTCAAATTAAGTTTAACTCACAATTTTAATATAACTATTGGCATAAGTCTATATTTATCATATTTTTACATTATTACAATTATCTGTAACAAAACACTGTGACATTTCTTCGACTTTTAAATACAAAATAAAACTACATTTAGTAAATAAAAAGTTAACATTTTTTTTTTATTAGGTAGTCAATAAAAAAATTAATTATAAACAAAATATAATTAGCTACTCAACTGTTCACTGTTTAGTACATTTAAAATTGCAAAGAATGGAATTATTATAGAATTATAAAAGTCTTCATGTTTAAAACTGTTTAAATTTTAAATTAATATTTCGAATAAATGGAAACAAAAAATTAAATAATGGAAAATGGCAAGGATTTAAAATGATCATACATTTTAATAATATAATATTATAATATTAAATTATGATATAACCTTCACAACACAGAAGATAAATATTATTTTTGTTTGTATATTGTTCTTATGTATGTACTATTTATTAGTACTTACCATTTATATTTTATATGAAAGAAATACTCAAACATAATATAATTTATTGGTATTCAAAATTTGAATCTCGTAATGGATTGAGCTAAGACATAATGTCAATTGGACAGGAAATCAGTAAATAATAATAAATACCTAATAATAAAATACCAGTAAATATATTCCAAACAATGATAAAATGAAACGTAAATAATGAGAGCAAGAAACAATGCAAATTGATGAGGTGTGTGGAGACAACATTCAGAATACTTAAGATACTTATTTATGATAGTAGTTCTTACATGTAGGGCGGGGGCGGGGGTCTGTTACTACAGCTCTGGGAGGCATTTTGCATCAGCGAGTTTGGTGATTGATGCTGGTGCGACATCTGCAACATTGTAGCACCAGTGTTAAGCCAATATTTGATATCTTGCAGCATGGCCATCGGAGTGTCTTCTGGGTTAATCAAACTGAGGAGTCCCTTCTTCCACAATACGCCCAATTGTTCACTGTGAAATAAACAATAAACAAAATGTATTAGAATTTTTTGAACACTGTTAGATCAGGATAATGATGAGTTGAGGGAGAATGATAATTACTAAAATGAGGAGGATCAGACACTTACGAATTTCCACGGAAAAGTGTAATTTTTAAGTATTTTTGAAAGACGTAAGCGCATCTCTCGACAGTCCACGAAGGTAACACAATTTGGACTAAGTGCTCTAATGTAATTAATAAATCTGAGTAAATGTATGGATTGGCATTTATGCAGTTGATCGGTTTTCCTTGAAGTGTTGTTTTTTGGATCTGTATTTGAAAAACAAATATATTTAGATATATATTAAGTATTTATTAATTATAAACATGCGTCAGTATTATACACATACATATTATAACTATATTAAAATTTAAAAATGATTAGGGATCTTATGTATCAAATAAGTCTAAATAGTTAAATATTAGTGTTTTGTGTTACTACTTTTGTTACTGCTCGGCACTTAATTTAAAAACACATAGACCTGTTATGTATGCCTTCTATACCGCAATTGATCAAATAATAAATATTAAGAGAAGTTATACATAGTAAGAACTAAGAAGCTATTATAGTTTCTTAATATAATAATATTATTGTACTAATTATTAATTCTTATTTAATTATTATTAATTATTGATGATTAAACTAATGAATATTTTCTATAAGAAAATATTAGGCACTAATATAATTAATTCAGATGTAAATGTTGATAGTAATGATAAATTAGTTTCCAATTATGAAGTAAGTATAATAAGCTTAAATATTTGGTGTTAAATTCTTAGGTAGTCATAATGTACAACAATAATTATAAGTTATCAATTTATAATAGGATACTCACTATTCTAGAGTAAAAACTAATAAATAGAACTAAAGTCAAATTTTTTACTCAAATATTGATTGTAAAACAATATTTATTATACATTTTGACTGACCATTAATTAATCAAACCCATATTTTCTTTATTTGTAATTAAAGAAAAATATAAAATATGATTATTGAATAAATTTAAAATGTATTATTATTATAAAATAGGTGTGTGGGAATATTATATTATATGTTGACGAGCCTTCAAAGCTCATAATCGTTTGACGTATACAATATGATTTTATATCATTGGATTCAAATTTAACACATTCATTATTCAATTATAGAAACTCTTCTAGACAAATAGTGTACAGCAAACTGTTTATATTTATGATACTAACTCATTTCACTCTAAGATTACCTAAACATAACAGAGTTAAATGAATTATTCAGATTACACAGTACAATTTGTTATGTTCAGAGTTTGTAAGACGGAAACAAGGCACGTAAGTATGGCGTTCTCTTAACTCTTAAGAAGATGTCTAAGTACTATTTGTTTTCTGTCTCTGGCCAATGAGAAAAATAGACAAAGCGCATATAGCTGGGTGGTTTTTTTTTTTTTAATGTTCCTGACTTTTAAGTGAAATAACGCATTAAAAAAACGATGTAGAATTATATTTCAGAGGGTATGAAATTGATTTGCCTAAATATCGTCTAAAAACAATTTAAACATCATGTTTCAAATGTACAAGTTATTTTTCATTTTGAAAGTCGAATACAATGTTAAATAAAAAAATTTAAAATAGATATCATACCTTCAAGATTTTTTAAAAATCATGAAAAACAATTGTAGGTGATAGTGTTCTATTTATGTTGGAGAGAGAATAAAAGTTGCACTGACATTCTATTTAAATGAAAATTATTTATTTTAACTACCTATTTACATTCTAGTATTATACTTTGGCTATGTTAAGACTTAATTTTATTATGAGTAAATTGACATGAATTATAATGCATTACTTTTTTTTATTTTTTATGTTATTAATCTATTATAAAAGTTCTAACTGTTTGTTTAACTTAGTTGAATTAAAAGTTAATTTTGTGTTTTGTCATTAATTTATTGTATTGCATTCAATTATCAATATGACAAATAAAATGTTTGTTTGACTATTAAATATTAGTTGATTAAAATAATAACTAAAAAAGTCAAGTATCACATTTATAATTGTATATTTCATCGTCAGAAAAATTAGTCTAAAGATACTAAAACAATTACTGTATTATTGTTATTATTATTATGTTAGTATAAGTCGTAAGTGTAGATACTCCTTTTTTATAGCTAGGCCAACTAATCACCCACGTAAAGGTCATAACTCATAGGTCATAAGTATAGGTGACTCTACGGACACATCTATCTTATCTCTATTTTACAATCTTATAATATATAGCAAATTGAACTTTATTAATAATCTATTTACCTCAGTTTTGGCTAATGTAAGAGGGAATTAACATAAGCAATATTAATAATAATATAATAATAATATTATTATGAAATTTATAAGTAAGAATATTATCTAGTAAAACACACGAGGGTTTTAAAGTTTTTAATTTTTTTTGAAGTGGGCCATGAATTATGTGTATCTTAAAATTGTAAATTGTTTGTACATTTTAAAATACTCGTAACTCGCTCTGAAATTAAAATATAAAAAAAAAACTTATGAGATTCACTAGATAATATTCTTCTACATTTGATAGTAGTTGAATTCGCTCCAATATTAAACATATAACAGAGTTAAATGGATTATTCCAAACACGCAATTTGCCATGTTATATGCGTTTGTAAGCCGAAGATATTGCATGCAGATGTATCGTCTACTGAACCTGGTAAGCACTGATATTCGTGTCATTTCCCCATATCCGTTCAGGTATATTTGTCAATTCCCATCCAACACTAGGGCTAATAGAAGTAGTCTCTTGTTCTCTATGTCTCTTCTTCGGATGAACAGAGCTGGATGGTGGTAAAGGTATGTCAACTTCAGTGGCTACAGTTGTTACGATAGACCTTGCATTCCTCAATGCATTAGGCGGTTGACCGTCGGTTAGACGACCATGTACAGATTGGCTACTATATGACGACTGAGTTTGTAGAGTAGTAATTATTTGTTGTCGATGCTGCTGTTGTATCAGTTGTGGCTGGGCTTGACTATTGTTAATAGCACATTGATTGTATGAATTTCGCTTTTGATTTGAGTCTGATATCATATCGCTATTGGTCATAGTTGTTATCCATTGACTGGAAGGTGTAGCATTTGAGTGTGAGACAGAATGACTGTAAGCAAAAAAAAAATGTTTTGTTATTTTTAGGTATTTACAAATTTAATTTTTTGTATTATTCTAATAACACTTACCTAACTGTTGGTGCCGTATCGCAGGCACGGATTAGTGTTGATGGTGGTCCATCATGACCCACCCCGTTTATCAAACTGCTGTTCTGTGATACTGTTGAACCCTGAAATCAATGAAAACTAACTGTAAAAAAACTGTTGGTTTACTAAAATATTATATATACATAATATATCCAAAATGTAATATTAATAATTATAAAAAAAAGCAATTATGGAATCTAAACTCTTTAAATTATTATCACATATAATGCAAAACTTTTAGTCTACACTTTTATTGAACACTAAATATCAAATTCTAAAAAATTAAATTAATAATCATACATTTATTGAACAACAAATATATTGAGAGCTAAATTAGTCATTTTATGAAAATTTTAACCCAAATAAAAACTAAATTTTAAATACCTTCAATTTTATTATTATTATTATTTATTAATATTGTTATGAACTTCTGCTGATCATTTAATACTGAAGTAATGAAATGTTATGTCATATATTATATAGTAATAGCGTTTTTCTCATTTTATATAATATTTCATTATGTGAACCGATCACCTATCGAGTACAGGAATGTGCTGACATAACCCTTTTAGTTTATGCAAACTGAGCCCGGATACTCTATGGACCAACAGTAGTGTGACCTATCATTTGTAAGTTTTCCGTCATTTTTCTTAAATAAGAGCATCAGTTCTGTAATTCATGCACATAATAGAACCGTCCTAAAACTTTATAAAACAGACATAGCAAAACACCGAAAAACAATCAAAAATCTCCTTATTCAACATGTAACTGCCATAACTGCGGTCACAAAACTTGTGTGCCATGTTTTGTCAAAAAATGTCCCGATATCATAAGACATCGGAATAACAATATCAAAAGAAATTAGCAGATGTTTATTGAATAACTTCTAGTTATTGTAAGAACATTGTAAAAAAATGTCAGAATGCAGGAAAAGAAAATATGCGAATTCAAGAATTTTCTTGAAATACTCAAGCAATCAATAAGGATCATCAGACACCTCAAAGAAAATGGAAAACTTCAATCGACTCGGCCAAGGTACACGCCCTGCCTGCGATCTACAAGCCACCATTATCCAACTATACGAGTTCTCCCTAGTTCAGCACAAATCAGAGATCACAGTTCATCTAAGAAGAAAAGTTCAACTGTTAGTTTATGCGATTTAAACCTAATAAAATTAACTTCATTAAATCCCAAGAATTTAGTTGATAAATCTATATTTTATAATTTCAAAGGAATAAGCAAATATGTAACAAAATACTCAGAAGAGCATCATCAACATTGATGCGAAATTCAATTAACCGCAAAATTTCATGTTGCCCATCCCAATTTCCAGATACCCAGACACCAAATTTTGGGAAACCAATTTTTTAAGGACAACAATTATCAATAGATTTCAAAAGAAATCAACAAAGTTGGCAGATGAACATAAACATGAGTACCATAGAAAATCTTTTAAGCGGAAACGTTGTTACTGAAGTAAAAGACAACCATGGTATGGCCCTAATAATTAATACTTCAGAATAAAACATAAATATTGGTGACTTAGCGATAGATAAACTATCACAGGAATAATGCATACTAATAAGCATGCTACACGACTATCATATTATCTCTAGTGGAAGCAAGCACTCAGCGACTATCCCTTACTCAGAAACTCAATACAGACCTTTCAACATTAAACAGGAAATAAAAAAGCAGTAAAAGTCTATAGAGTATAAGGCATTATTTGTGGTACCAAAATTCAAATGAAACAACTAATTATCGTGTATGTGTAGATTTTAGAAAACTTAAAAGTATAACAGCAGGGAATGTCTATTCCTTTTAAAATATAGCAGATATCCTCAATCAACTAGGAAAACAAAAATACTTCACGACGTTAAATTAATCGTGGGGATACCGTCAGGTGAAAATTCACACAGATCATCGAAAAACGTTTTCAACAGACATGGTATATTTTGAATTTGTACGTGTATCTTTTGGTTTAAAAAGATTTTCTGCAGATTTTCGAAGAATGATGAACAATGTTTTAGCTGCAATTAACGGGATTGAAGCTTTTGTTTACCTGGAAGATATAAATTTCTATAGTGTCAGCATAGAAGAAACTCAACTGCATGACAGTTTCACAACTCTATGAGAAGAAACTCAACGATGTTTTTGATCGACTAAGAAAATATAATCTGAAACTATAACTTTCAATATGATCCTTTATGAGAAAAAAGTCAATTTTGTATGGCTCAAAATCATAGACAAAGGAATGAAACTTAATCCACAAAAAGTTAAAGCTGTCCTCGATTTTCCAATTAATACCAATGCAAAGCAAATCGAGTAATTTAAAGGTCTCTCGAGGTATTATAAAAATGTACACAAAATTATGAAAATTTATCGAAGCCTTTAACCACATTGTCGATAAAGAGTATTTTTTTGAAGTGGGTTATGACTTATGTGTATCTTAAAATTGTGTATTGTTTGTACATTTTAAAATACTCTTAACTCGCTTTGAAATTAAAATATAAAAAAAACTTATGAGATTCACTAGATAATATTCTTCTACATTTGATAGTAGTTGAATTCGCTCCAATATTAAACATAAAACAGAGTTAAATGGATTATTCCAAACACGCAATTTGCCATGTTATATGCGTTTGTAAGCCGAAGATATTGCATGCAGATGTATCGTCTACTGAACCTGGTAAGCACTGATATTTGTGTCATTTCCCCATATCCGTTCAGGTATATTCGTCGATTCCCATCCAATACTAGGGCTAATAGAAGTAGTCTCTTGTTCTCTATGTCTCTTCTTTGGAGGAACAGAGCTGGATGGTGGTAAAGGTATGTCAACTTCAGTGGCTACAGATGTTACGATAGACCCTGCATTCCTCAATTCAATATGAGGTTGACCGTCGGTTAGACGACCATGTACAGATTGGCTACTATATGACGACTGAGTTTGTAGAGTAGTAATTATTTGTTGTCGATGCTGCTGTTGTATCAGTTGTGGCTGGGCTTGACTATTGTTAATAGCACATTGATTGTATGAATTTCGCTTTTGATTTGAGTCTGATATCATATCGCTATTGGTCATAGTTGTTATCCATTGACTGGAAGGTGTAGCATTTGAGTGTGAGACAGAATGACTGTAAGCAAAAAAAAAATGTTTTGTTATTTTTAGGTATTTACAAATTTAATTTTTTGTATTATTCTAATAACACTTACCTAACTGTTGGTGCCGTATCGCAGGCACGGATTAGTGTTGATGGTGGTCCATCATGACCCACCCCGTTTATCAAACTGCTGTTCTGTGTTACTGTTGAACCCTGAAATCAATGAAAACTGTTTAAAACTGTTGGTTTACTAAAATATTATATATATATATAGTATATAGCCAAAATGTAATATTAATAATTTAAAAAAAAAAAATCAATTATGGAATCTAAACTCTTTAAATTATTATCACAAATGATGCAAAACTTTTAGTCGATACTTTTATTGAACACTAAATATCAAATTCTATAAAATTAAATTAATAATTATACATCTATTAAACAACAAAAGTATTGAGAGCTAAATTAGTCATTTTAAGACAATTTCAACTTAAGTTTTAGGAAAGAAATAAATGAAGATAATTTAACAAGAAGTACCGCATTATAGCACTGAGCATCTAGACTTTGAGTTCTGATCGCAATAGAGTTTTCAAGAGTTCTTGCTGTTGTAGATGGCGACTGAGCCTGAGAACTAATTGAATGAACCTAAAAAAACATTATTTATTAATTAATAATTTAGGATTTTATATTATGAAGAAAAAATTTGGTTTTTTAAAATTCATGCTTGACATCACCACTAGCGAATTATTAAAAGAAACAAGTAAAAGCATAATCGCATGTACAAATCTGAAATACTTTAAAGCATTTTTTCCAACTTATATTATATTTTGTTAAGTACAATATATTGATATTGATATATCAACTATATTCACTATTTTATACTTTGTAGATACATTATTTATTAATATTTAATAGCTAATACCCAAAATACTTTTAAGCATAAAATAAATGATAATTTAAAGCATAAAATAAATAATAATTTTGAGTACATAATAAAAACATAAGTAACAATTTTGTTGTAAGTACTTAAAATATAAATGAAATTTGGGATTCAAAATATAAAGCACATACCATCTGGTTTGCTGGCCATTCATTTTGATAGGTGGCCATCGTTACTGGCATACTCTGTGGAATTTCTTTTGCTGATGCCGTCAAAGTGTGTGGAATTGTATTCTTAGCAACTACCACTTCAGAGGGTGGCCTAGCCCAGGCACCTGATGTATTGACAGGTATAGATTTCTGATTCATTAACAGCTGTATTATAACCCCCTGAGGTGGCCAATATTCCTCAAAATGTGTTTCTGTTGAATAACAATTCTTGACATCATCAAGACTGATCACTGTCCAAGATTCATCAAAAAAATACTCATTACTTATACCCTGGACTTTACAACAGAATTTGAGATAGGCCAAGTTCCAATTTTCTAACTGTATAGCTAGATGTTGTAGTTGTTCTGTTTCGCCTTCAAAGCAGAATAGTGGAACGTATTTTTGGCTATTTTTAATACAATATGGTACAACAGACTCAGAGTTAATACGTACAAAACCACAGTTTTCTTTGCGACCTGTATGAATATTGAGTAGTAATGTTTTAAGACACACTTCAATGAATGTATACAACTCATGAACATCTTCTAAGAGAACTATGCATTCTTTTTTTGCTAGGAACATTTTCTTCCCGAAGGCAAAATTAGTATGATAGTTGATTTCATTTAATAATTTTGCTTCATTATCGGTGATAAAATGACTTCTTATTGATTTGCATGTATAAATATCGGAATGTAAATAAAATAAAGAGTTGCTAAGTAGTTGAGTTTCAGCCATCCGTACCGATACAAAGTTTAACTCAACACAATTAATTACGCGTGTGATGTATGGTACCTGGTATTTTTCAATTGATTTCCAAGCAAATCTACCTATATTGAGCAAAAAAACATAAAATATAATTTGTCTTCATTTGAAATTTAAAATTGAATTCTTGATTGCTTACCCTTTATGCTATATATATCTTCGCGATCTGTATGTAATTGTTCTTGATTATTTTCTAGTGTATAATTAGTTGTGATTGGTTCAATAGCCAAAGTTGGTTTTTCTACGGTTGATACATTTGTTTGATAGTTCTCTTTCATTTTGAGAGCCATTGGATTGATTTTATTATCACCATGTTCATTATTAACACTTATCACTGTAATTTAATCAAAACATTTTTATTAACATATTTATGTTATAAGTAGATAGGTTATATAGATATTAGATAATTAAACACATTTTTTTTTTATAAAATAATTTATAGTTTTTATATGTAAAAATGAAGAACTATTAAAATGACAAGAACTTTCTTGTTTAGTAGGTGTCTAGAAGGCGGCTGTAATGGACAGTACTACATTTGAATTCAATGATATGATGTCATTGTATACGAAAAACAATTCTGAGCGAAGACGGTTTGACAGTCGAGGATATTTTATATTGTTATTATTTTTTATTAATACGGTAGTCGGTGAGTTGAATTAATATCATTCATAATATTATTATTAAATTATCAGTGGTACTGCAAAAATATTAATGTACTTACGTAAAATTGAGCTGTTTTGGAACCGAATTACAACAAAAATCGTTATTCTTTGTGTTAATATGTAATTTTGTCATAATTTGAATTTAAAATGTCTGTCAAGTATAACTGTTTTTACATATTTTTTATATTTTTGAGTTACGAAAACAATAGCTTAAGTCGAACCTTGTTTTAATATTTCATTCTTTAGCTATAAATATTGAAAATGTTACACATTTTTAACTTAAAAGTCACTTTTCAACTTTCAATTTAATCAATGTTGTCAAAATTTGAACTTTAAACAAAAATTGTGCACATGTATTTTTAATATTTTTCAACAGCGATTGTAGCAATATATCAAGAGCCCTATATTCAATTTTCATGCTTTTTCGTACAACCCAAAAAATTAGTTGACATTTATTGAAAAAAAAAATGAAAAAAAAAATTTGAAAATGTCCGTCAACCGTTTAAAACGAATCCATATATTTTGGAAATTTTTACAAGTATATGAATTGATGAAATAAACATTTGATATAAATTTCAAGTGTCTTCAAAAATTCGTTTTTTAATTACAACAAAATAAGAAAATCGTTAAAAGAGAAATCGAGTGAATATCCAATGTAACCATAAATTTCAACTTCAATGGCTCATAAAAATTTAATTTAACTTTAATTTAAAAATTAAGGTATAATGAAGGTATACAAGTTTATAAGAAATCTTGTATTAAATTTTTAAATCTTAGATATAAAAGAAAAAATTTTATGAATTTTAAATAATTTTCGTGGTATTCGTGGTTTTTACGAATGTTGTCAACATTTTAATAACAACTTCCGAGGAACCTTGCATTACATTTACAAGTTTTTGACCGTGTGAAAAATTTTTTATCGACATTCGTTCAAAAAAAACAAATAATAATCGAAAATGTGATATGCTTATAAATAAAATATTTTGAAAATTGTATGGTCTTATAGAAAATTCTAACCCAAACATTCAGTGAAAATTGCATGTATCTACGGTAATTTGTTTTAGAGTTACACTAATAACCAAAATCGATTTTTTTCGAAAACTGGTTTTAAGTAAAATTTTCAGTTTTTTCTCAATTTTTTGTTTGTTCTTCCTGTCACTTTTGAAAACAATTGAGAATTTTAGATTTGACCTTCTGAATACACCAACTAGATTATCTTTCTTATCAGAAAAGTCTTATTGAAAAAATCGAAACACTATTACTGCCCCAAACCGTGATGACAATCACAAAAGTAAAAAAATAAAAAACACACATCATCAAAAAATCATTACATTTATTGTTCAACTCAGAATTTACAATAAGAAAATAATACACCATATATGTATATTATTTAGGAATTATCATAATAAATTATTGTCAAAATAAGACCAAAAAATTTAGTTTAAATGTCTTAAGTAATCAACTCATTTAAATTCATACTATATACTTATAATATACTCGTATTATATATTGGCTAATTACTAATTCCACAGGTTTTTGGTAATGTACCTAATTAAATATTGTAACAATTATTTCAATGAAACCTGTGAAATTGTAATCATTATAATCCAGATTTATCAGTATTATGTAATATAGCTTATAACTTATTAAAATAGATAATAGCTTAAATTTTTTAAAATTTTTTCAGTTTGTAATATTGTTAACTGAATAATATTGTATAAGTTATAGATTAGACTCCTTGGCCCCCACACAAGTTTCTCAGTCGCTCCCAGTATTTTTGCTTTTCGAGAAATAAAAAATAGCCAAAGTTTATTGTTTTTTATTTAAATTTCAATACTGTGCACAATGTCAAAATAAACATAGGATTTAGATACAACTTGCCATTTTGCAATTTAAGTTGATCAGCGCAAACTATGCAAACCAACGATTTTAATTGCTACAATGGTTTGTAACATTGACAACACAAAACAAATTTAAAAGAAGAAAACTTCTAGTATGATTCATTCGAATTTCATTGAATTTTTAAATTTACGTTTAAAAAAAAAATTTGTTTGTAAAGTAAATTATGTTCACAAATTTTCTCAATAATTAGGAGAAGCGAATAATAAGTGGGGAAAAATTTCAACTACTATTGTGATGAATTAGAAAATGCAGAAAATTAGGAGAAAACGGGAAACCAGTTTTAGGCAAAAATCGATTTTGTTATTTAATTGTAATTTAACAAAAAAAGCCCTCATTATTCACTATTTACTTTAACCATGTCCACAATGGTGTGATTATCAATATATTTAGAATTTTGTAATTATTGAACATTTAAATTTTTTAATAGTTTTTGTTTTGTTAATATAAATATTTCAATGAAAAATTACGCTATAAAAATTGAAAAAAAATTACTCATATAGGTATTCAGTTACAATCATTTTTATATGAGCGTTGTAAGTTAGAATTGTTTACGAAACTCGTTCGTTAAAATTGAAGGGCTTGAAGGAGTTACGTAAATTTTTGATTTTGCTGTAACTAATTATTGGTCATTTATTAAAGCTTATAAGTTTTAAAAGTATTTGTATTTAATATAAAATTGAGAATTTTTTTTATTTATTTATTTATTTTTTACTAATTATATGTACTCAATCGGAAAATTCTTATACTTAACAGTAAAAGATAAAATCAGATGTGTATATTTATATAATTACATCAAATAATACGGCATACAATGGTCTATAAAATTAACCTGTATAAAAAAATTGAAAATACCTAGGGATTTGAAAGTCTCTATAAACACTTTTTTAAATAAAAAATGGATTTCTGCCTATGCTGTTAATACGCCAAAAGCAGCAGTATAGCAAAAATGAAAAACACACTTAGACCATTGGCTACAGTCATGTTCCGTCTGTTAGATTATTATGATATTCACGCTATACCTAAATTATTTATAATTGAATTTAAAGACCCCGTCACATTGTTCCCTAACCTAATTTTTATATTTTTATCAAATGTTTTTTTCCAACTACCACCTAAATCAAATAAGTTAAATTCGCTCAAATGAAAACGGTTGATATTTCCTCGGCATTGCCTTCATTCTTATTGCAAAACATAATAAAACAAATTGAAAATGTATGTTATAATAATTGTTGGGTTTAAAATCAGTACCTTCGTTGGCTGTAACGCTGATAACAGAAGCCATTTTTGCAGTGTCCATCGCAGGGCGTTTGATGGTGGTAATGGGCGGTGATAAATACGTTATTCGACAAACCTATAATGTCGCAGCAGTGCCGTAAAAAACACGGCGAAAAAACGTTAGTTTTATTTCATACGTGTTGATAATAATTTAACGAATGATATACGGAACGCGCAGTGCTGTCGGCGGGGATGGTAACCAGTTGGAGAACGACGAGAACAACGGGGACCGTGGAGTGATGCGAATGTATCGGTCGTGAGAAACAACTGCGGACGGTGTCGTCGGACGAATCACAAATGAATTCGATGGTCAGATCGTGCGTCGGTGTCTGTCGGCTCGTCGTGGCAGTAGCTTGAGACACACTGGTAGGGGTGGGGGTGGGCAGGTTAGGCGAACTGCAGTGAACACGTTTGGAGTGTAATTTTGCTGTAGTGTGCATACGTGCGTCGGTTTGTGAGTTTACGTGCTATGTATGTGTGTATGTGTGTATGTGTTAAATACCACAACGACGACGCCGTCTCCAATTTTCGGTGATTGTCATGACACACTGCAGCGGTGAAAACGGGCGAACTGATTTAGATTTCAAGAGACTTAGAGGGTAAACAGTAAAATTAGCTACATTTTTATAACTTCTAACTACACTTCTAACAACTACTTCTAACTCGCGCATGATTTTTTTTCAACTTACAAAAAAAGAAAATCGTTTTTTGTTTATCTAAATGGTCGCCAAATGTTACATATTATATTAGCATTATAATTTAAAGAAATATTATGGTGTATAAATACATTTTTTTACGAATATTTTTATTGAAAATACAAATATTTGGCACTGCGGGCAACGTTGGTCGAGACAGCTAGTATGTATAGGTATATATTTACTTAATGTTATACATTTTTATATATCTATAAGTTTTGTAAAAAAAATACCAATGAAAGGGTGGAGGGTTGAACACCTAAAATACTCCTCTGTGTGTACGAAACTGATTATGCATCTGATGACACATTTAAAATAAAATTGGAACCAAAAAAAACTGACTGAAACTGCTTTAGAACGTATGTGTTTAAGTAAAATTACGTACGTGATTTTAAACCTTCGTGGATAAAAACCGCTCCGTGTATTAGCAGTTACTAAAAGTTTATCGTTTCAGACAATAATTTTTTTCTTACCTTCAATGTATATTTTTTGAATTTTTGAAATACGAATTTGATGTGTTATATGAACTGAAGATTTTAGCTGGATCAGAATTTGTCTAAATCACTTAGTTTTTATGAAATGTTTAAAATAATATAAAAGAGTAATATATAGAATAGAAGTAGTAATGTTTGTTACGTATGCCTCTGTAACCACAGCAGTCATTTATAGCATCACGATATGGCATAACCGATCATTATCACTTTTATTTTTTTTAATATTTAAAAACAATATCTTTCTTATAACTTAGAAAGTCACACATTTATAGGTTATCGTCAAACATCAAAAATAAAATGTTCAGTAATTTAGACGAAGAAGGGAATTGGGGAATCTTTGGGTTAGGAGCATGGGTCTATGCAAACAATTCAAGTTTAATCTTATTTAATCGAAAATTCATAGACTGTTACAAAATAAAATATTTGAGTTATCAAGACGACTTCATAGCTATAATCGAACCTACATTTTTGTATTCATTGCTTTTTTTTTTGTTGTAAGTTCATTCTCCAAAAAGCAATTTTATTTTTGTATAAATAACAGTTTTAAATTGTTATATTCACTTAAGATCACCGAGAAAATTGCACAGTTAAAAAAAAGATATTTTATATATGTACTCGTAAGTATATATATTTTTTTAATAAAGTTAAACGACCAAATAAACTTGGTTGCCCTCCTAAAAAAATGGCTTTTGTCCTTGTTATATTTTGTTTGTGTAATTATATTTGTAATTTAAATAAAAAAGGGCTCCTTGCACGATTTTTCCCCCTGGGTCTCAAAATGTCTCTGAACGGGCCTGTTTAGATGAGTAAGATAGGCAATTATATCGATCCCTGCCCAAATACGTCATCGGGTGATATCACCGTAATATATGCGCAAATTATATTTTTTTACATTGAATTTTGATAAAATTGTTTTTAATGGTTCTGACTACAATAATTTAATATCAAATAAAAAAATAAATACTTATGATAAAAATATATACTTATGATATCGTTGAATGTTATCTACATTAGAATGTAGCTATAATTTATTAATTATGATTTATCTTTTATTAATTATTATTGATGGACTGTTAGTCATAGTGTGCCAATATTTGAACATGCCACCATCTTATTATACCAAAGATATCATTAACTAATAAGAGATGCTAGTTTGTTGGCATCTACTGTATAGAACTATAGAATACAGATAAGTTATACCTACCCGGCTACCCACCGACCTGATGTCAGATTGTTGATTATCATATATATAAATATATATTTCAAACGATCGTAAATAATTGTATTATACAGTACAAACATATTTACGGGCTGTGCACAGTCTCGACCTCACTTATAGTGTGTCTATTGTATGCAGGTTACCCAGATAAACACAAATGAGATTATGAGATATTGTTCGAACGCGGCTGATTTTCCTGCCGAATCGTTTACATCGCCAAAGGCTTTACAAGTCTCCGCGACCGGTGAGGAGTGTCCGCCACATGTCATCCCCTCCTCTACGCACTCGCGGCCGGCGATGTCCACTGCAACCTTCGTCCGTCACCTTGCGTTTGTCTTTTGCCAACGGCCGACCTGGCGTGTCCAGTTTCTACGTTTTTTTTTCCGTTTGTCCACCGCGTGGTCAAACGACCTTATTTCTGGTCGTTTGTGTAATTGTCCTTTTTTTCTTTTTACGTTGTGTACGCGCCAATCGTCGCAAGTCCCGAGACAGTGTCGGGGGCTCGGGGCTTGACGCGTGCTTCACATTCCGTCACTTAGTATATATAATCAATTTATTGTGACATTGCCATTATAATTCCATACGTGCCACCCGTCAAAAGGCGGTCGCCTTACCAGCCCAGACTACAGCGTGGCTTTGCCGAGTAGCAGACAGCAGTACAGGTCATACCTTTTTTTTGTTCTCATTTATTATTGTTATTATACATTTTATATTGTATGTATTCAGACGAAGAAGTTTTGATTTATAATTAAGAGTAATACGGGCCCGCACGTTATTATTATTATTGTCACTGTTATATCTGTACGCTGTGTTGCGATTAATATATTATGTCTGGCACCCGGCGTCCGTTTATTGTATTATAATTATTGTATACTAATATTTCACACCGTGAGTAACCTTACCTTCCCCGCAAGTCGCGGCCGACAACCGCCGCCTTTGTAGGAGAGGTCGCGGCGCAACAGATATATTAATTATTAACTATAATATTTCAGAAAATAAGAAATATAATCCGGTTCTATCCAAATATAAACCTTGTGTTCGAGAAAACATGGAACACAAAGAAAGTTATAGAAATGTACGATTCAGCAGTTTAGTCTCATGTCCTTCAAACAGAATTTAAAAATATGTATGGAGTACTCAGTGATATTAGTAAATATATATAGGTATTATTAGCGAAAAACAGCACAACCATATTATTGATTTAAAAGAGGGCTAATTTTTTTTTTTTTGTAAACAATTCACTCGTTTCTAATCTTAACTATTTTTTTTTACGATTTTCTAATGCCAAAGCATATTCTAGTACTCTCTATCTCTTATTAGGTACAAAATATAACAATTATTTCATATTTAAATGATGTACCTATAGAAATAATGGTTTCAAGGATAGGAAGGCTAAAACCACAAGCGATTTTAAATTTCCGTTGGCGAAACGGGGGCGGGGAGATGTCCTAGATCCTTGAATCGCATGAATTTATTAAAGACTTAAAAAAAACGATGAAATGTATTGAATATTATAAAATAAGTTTTTCTCAACAAGACAACAAACCGTATGTTTGTCGTAAAAACGCTTTGTGTAGTGTGTACGATGTATTTTAGTGTAATAGACACAACAAACTGTAATAGGTACAAATAAATGCAAACTGTTTACACACCCCCTAATGTACTTTAAAAGTTAATACACATTTTATTCAACCTTTTTACTATTTTTTAATTCAAAGCTGGCATACTTTATATTTTAATAATCCAAAACTAAATTATAGACTACAGTGTTTATACTTAATATTAATAATTGTATTTTAAACCATGGCCATATAAATAAAAAAGTTTTAGTCTTAATGAAACTTGTAGGCTCAAATGTATTTTAAACAATACAGATAAGAATTACATTCTAAACATATACTTTATCTTCAAATATAGTCAATAGCTTTAACAAAAATATCAAAGTTCAGAAAATTTTACTTATAAATTAAAATACTTGTATGATATATTTTAAAATTTACACACATTATCAATAAGTTTTAAAAATGTATTAAACCAAAAAAAAGTAACTAGTAATTTTGTAATTTAAATAGAAAAAAGTAACTTTACCTACGTATAAATTATTTACAATAAAATAGTATTAAATTACCATCAAATTACTTAAAAAGTGATTTCGTTACAGTAACTTCTAACTTGAATTAAGTTACTCCCTAACACTGTAAATTACAAACAAAACGCGTAGTCGACCGTTTAGAAACACACCGAATAATGAAATGTGAATACATAGGGCATATATTATGGTTGTACCTTGTATGTCCGCCTGTAAGTCATATTTTGAGACAGTAAAATCAGTATTTATAAATAAAATTAATAAATGAGAAATGAATCTAACAGGCCAATTTCATGCACTTCTAGTATAAATAATACAATGATAAATATCATAATATTACAAGAATACAATGATTAAATTAGCATTGTCTTAGCATAAACGTATTTATTTCTCTGCTCTTTTAGGGATTGCGTAAATCAAATATGCAAATTCTACAAGTCCTCTGCTCTAATTATAATAATATACCGATGTGATAAAAACGTTAGCCTTTTAGGTTGATGGTTTTATATA